TCGAAGATCAAAAACTGTAGGCTATCCAAGAAACACTGACAGGACTTTCCTTCCAACCAAGTAGTATGCAGGCACGCTCCTCATTATCACGGATGTGCATTGTACCTGAGAAGCGCTAGGCGTGGCTGTATACTTCACTTGAACGTTGCGTAGGACGGCTTAAACATAGGGTTTGTCAGTCTGAGACCACTGTAAAACTGTCATCTAACACTCTGTTTTACAAAGGTATGATTACAAGCGTACAAGTGTCAAAATCAAAGTATCCCATCATTAGGGCAGCCAGTGCTACATTCATGGGTGTTCGTGACCACGCCCACTGCATCAAAGGGACATGGAGTATAGCCAGACACATGGGAGCCAGGGTTGCTTAGCTACTACAGACCATGATCAGGATGCTGCCCCGGGTTTAACTACCCATTTGACCTAATACAGACAGCTTTGAACATACGAAATTCCGTTCAAAAGCGGAAAATTGGGCATAACTTTAATTGCGTCTTTTGCCCTCTAAATCTTGAATTTCCTTGGATGGTGTAGATACAAAGTCGCCGCACTTAGAGAGGGAACCTGGCAGCACTGCTCGTACCATAGTGATGCGATGGCCTTTGGCTTCTTATTACTTGGAACCCTAGAAATGCCATAGGCGTGGCCGCGTTCTTCAATTGAACTTGACGGCATCTCCGCTTTGGTGAGATATTTATTGATTATATTTGATTTTAAGCAAGTCTTTGCCCAACTCAAGGTGTGATGACAGTTGTGTCATATTGAAAGTTATTACAAATAACCTATCCCACGCCATGTTCGCGTGAAGTGCGCGGCCACGCCCACTGCGTTTCGAGGATAGGGTGTGTAGAGTTCTCTTGAAACTGAAATTGCACAACACATTCCGATCTACCAATGTTTCAGATGCCGTACAAAATTAATCATACTACTAAGCTGCCACTGCTCTAAAGGTGGAGCTCGTCATTACAGAAAAGCCTACAGTGCTGCCACAGTACTGACAGCAGCGCTGCTGAACCGCACTATCCCGCTTTCGTCTCGGCGAGCAGATCTGATAGTAAACTTAAAGCTTGAGTAAGCATGCAGTGGTTGATGCGAAACCTTTTAAGACAACATCTCGATTTCTTTTTTCTTCTAACGCCACACTTACCGCTGTATCGACCAATCAGAGATCGATTTTTGTACACATCCGAAAGTTGTGCACGAGATTTCAGGGTTTACTATGACAAAAGACGTTGATATCACCAAGGTTGGAAAGAAACGGGGACTCGACGTATGGAGAGTGAAGGTAATCTTTGGAAGTACTTCTTCACATGTTTTTATAGTTGATCTGAGCACGAGGAGGATTACAGATTTGTTCGGTGCGGAAGCTGAGGCATCTCACGGGGTGGGTGGCGCGGCGCCAACCTGTTCTTCACAATCGTGGTACGCCTGCCAGCTTCCACAATTGGTGGAGAACAGGCAGATGCAGTGCTATTGCAAGTCTCCCCTTGAAACGCCCCAGCGTCAGAAGCGAACAAGACTGTAGAAATTACTGACCTTCGTTCAAACCATCCTTGTTAATCAGGCTAACAGTAGAACGAATTGAACAAGGTTGTTTTGTCAGGGGGTTGCCAGCTGGCCATGTTCAGCCCAAAAAACGGTGGGCCATCCTCACTAGACACGACAGGATTGTCGAGAACATTAGCAGAGGAAAATGTAAAGTGAGGCAACTGAAAGTGATGGATGCTAGCAGTTTTGAAGTGAGTGACCCAAATATCCACGGTTCCTCACTGATAATGATGACTGGACTTGAAACTTCAACTTCTAGCTTGGCCTGTAAGATTCCAAACATCTTTAGAATTCCTCCCCTTCAAACATTACTCTTGCCAGGCAGGGCACGCAGTATAAATTCTACAGATTCTACAATAGCGAGCCACCTTTCTCCGCTTGTAGGGATTGTATTACTTTGAAAAGGGAGCTGGGTTTGCAAATAGATTTAAGTATGAAATGAAATGAAAATATCCAAAAAATAGAGACTTCCCAGGAGGTGCATTGTCTTGTTCGTTGACGATGCTGAAGCGTTTCAGGGGACTGGGTTATTGTCGCTTGCCCCGCTTCAGAAATTGGTGAAAAACTGGGTGGTACCGCGTCTAACCCAACCTCCCTGACATCCCCAGCATCCGCAGCGAACTGGACACACAGCGCAAGCGGGAGGGCGAAAAATACTGTCTTTGAATAAGTAGGTGCTAGCACAGAGACGGCGTGGGGACTCAGACGGTACATACAGGAGCAGAAGTGGGTCTACAGGAGAGAAGAAATGGCAGGAAAATAGGAGCGGTCGCCGAAGCAGCTCTTTCGGCCTCCGGCAAGGACTACATAGATTCCTCGAGACTGAGAGGGCCATACAAAAGCTGTGGTAGAAGCGATTGCGCTGAATGGACATTCAGGGCAGTGGAACTCATATGAATTCAAGTGTAGAAAAACACCATAACAGGCGATATCGAACTTTCTCGCCCCTTGAACACAAAAAATCAAACAGCCGGGCAGGACAGCTCTTACTTTGGGCGCGACGTCGCTCGCTGCGGCACACTACGACGGTCTTGTCATATAGCCACATTTGCTATAGTTTACCACCTTCATGCATAGTACATGGTAGGCTCTACCAGCTGTTGTGCACCCACAACCACCAAAACGTAATTCTGTCGATAAGTAGGCTTTTGGGTTAGACGGAGGTGATGTAGTGGCAAGTGACACGTTGCAGGCGCAAGCCTCCGTAAATAGTTACCAGACTCGTCTGGGAGGGTAAAACCATTGGCTTTTACACTAGATGGCCTCACAAGTGATTGCGTAGGCCAGATTGCATTCACTAAGTAAACTATATTGAATGGAAGTGGCATGCAAGAAAAAGGATTGATTAATGGCGAAAATCCACCCTTTCAATCTTTTCGGAACCACTAGTTCGAGTTAGCAACCCTAGACGTACGCGCTTTCGAGGCGATACCGCGGGCACGGTGAGACCCCTTATCGTTTTTGGTGGGCACTGCCCCTATAGAAGGTCCCTTCGCACCTCTTGCTTTCACATTTTTGCGTATGGCCCACGGATTAATGTATTAGTTTTTTGACCCAGCACTTAATTGACTCTCTATTTCACCTTTGCTACGCGGGTATCTACTGTGACAGAGGATAAACCAGCACGAAATACGAGACTTCAGACTTGACCTGAACTGGCAATCAGTTTGAGAAATCCTACTCTCATGTTGTCTCATGAATATGTAGCAACGTGTAAGCAGGTGTGTGCAAGCACCACACATCCCTCACTTCCGTCTACCTCGCAAGGCGCGCCGTACATTGAACGGGTTTTGGCAACATGGGTGATTCTCCTATGGAAACGTCCGACGAGCAGATGGCGCTTCATATGAACACATAAAGCAAGGACGTATACTACTTGAAGGAAATCCGTACTTTTTTATGAGAAAAAGAGTAAAACGGGGGTGTGGGGTGGACGTAAACCAAGAAGAAAATGGAATAAAATCAAAGCATGCACAAAAAAAGGAAATGGAAGGGCCAGAAAGGACAGCGAACGGGGTAAAGTTTAAAAATGAGACATTTGCTCAGAAAGTGGGACTATCAGAGCAGAAATGAGCTTTGCATAGCGCTAAAGTCGTGTCCTCTGTGTTAATATCGAAACTGTCACAGCTTATTTCGAAAATAATGGTTTTATATATATGATACTATCTAGACAACAAACAATACCTACATCTTACAAACAACACAGCATCTAAAAAGTATTGACAGTACTGAAAATCATAGTCTACAGACAGCTCACATAGCTTTTCCGAACTTTGACAAGCATTTGGCCAGTGGTGGCAGCGTCTATCAACGCCCAGTACTTCGTAGCGGCACCGCTCGACACGTGGCCGTGGGCACCTTCACTGGGTTTTTCTCCGCACTCTCTACTCCATACATAATTACAGAATCTGTTTCAACGGTGCTTTTGGTACCTGCATGCAGTTCAGTACCTGCATGCAGTTCTTCCGCTGTGCAGGACAATGCAGCGCAGGATTCCGGCCGTTCACACTCTGCTGAACCAGAGCCTTCTTTGAAATAGGGGGGGGGGGTGGGGTTTACGCATCCAAAGGGGTGTAGCATCCAGCACTGGTTGCCTCCGATTAATTTGGATGGGATTGTCGGTGCTATAAATCAGTATGATCGCTGCGGTTGCTGGGACTTGTCATTAGCGGAGGGCTTGGTTTGGCGGACGCCAGCCAGTTTTTCATCAACTGTCGGGACTTGCTCTATCCACCTATTGGTGAAGAATGGGCAGGCGCCATGCCAAACCCAGCCCCTGACAGGCCTCAGCATCCGCAGAGAACTCGCGTTTAGAGCATTCTTCTTTGGTGGAGTTGAATATCAACAAAATGCCACGACTCCCGACACCTTTTTCTTGACCTTGGCCGTCCTGGCTACTCTTCAGTTATCTCTTATTGTTGTTAATAAGTGCTGAATGTACCACTCAGAGTTCCTCAAAGCTTTCTGGACACCCTAATGGCTGATTCATCCGTCGGACAAGATAATAAACACCTTACACGCTGTAACAGAGTTTCGTACTACCTTGGCAAGATTAACCTGTACACCCATTAAGGCTCATTCATTTTACTCTCATGTCTATCATACCGCCCTACCTAGTGAAGCGTACCGGAAGTGCTGTCATTAATGCTGATGTTGTTATTCCCTTGATCTAGCTGCCGACATACCTGTAGGTTCAAGAGGTAAGGTGAAATATTACAAAAACAAATACCTAGTAGCCAGCCAGAGATTTTTCCCAGTAATCCGAGGTTGCTCCAAGTACAGTTTTGCGTCAGGGGCGTGTCGTTGGCGTGAGCTGGGTTTGGCGAGGCGCCAGCTCGTTTTCGACAAACTGTTGTCCCTTGCGCTTTCCAACTACCCGTGCGAAATGGTCTGGAGCCGCTTCAAACTCAATCAATTACCACAAATACTTACGACTACTTACCATTTCAGTTTTGAGTGACATTACGTTTTCTTTCCAAAATTCCGAAAAGAAATCTCAAAACTTCCAGGACTTCAAGCTCGTTGAAGTGCCAAAGAACGAACATGGACAATTCTACACTGGTGATTCCTACGTTGTTATGAATGTAAGAATATTCTTTAACGAATAACTTTTTAGCGTGAGTTTACATTTAAATAAATACTGTTGTAGACCAAATGGAACGCTTGGGATATTCACTTCTGGCTTGGCCAAAACGCTTCACTTGACGAAATCGGAACGGCTGCCATGAAAGCTGTAGAAATTGACCAAGCACTAGGTGGTATACCAGTACAGTACAGAGAAATCCAAAACCACGAATCACCACTGTTCCTCTCATATTTTCCCAGTGGAATCAGGTTGAACTGAAAGCTTTACTTCCAAAAAAAGTTCACAGTAATTGAAAATTCAAAGTTCAGGTACTTGTCAGGTGGTTACGATAGCGCGTTCCATAAAATAGAGGATATGTTCAAAAACTGGAAGCCAAAACTGTTCCATTGCAAAGGGAAGAGGAATGTACGCTGTACGCAGGTATGTTCCTTTGGGTGAGGATCAACTCCATCATCGTTGAAAATGCGCGGAACATTGTCAATGTAATATATTTTCTCCTTGGAAAACTGAGGATATTCTTGGTTATGAACTATACGAAGTACATAGAACTTCAAATTTTATGTCCATTATGTGAACTCTGGCATGAACCTAAAGACACATTTCGCGATTAAAAACTGTGGATGGCAAGGCTCCGGTCGCCATGACGTGGCATGGAGTGAGCGTTCCACGTCTGAGCAGATAATACTTGTTACGGTTTTGTCACAGTTTTCAGAATAGATTTTCGGAGACGTATGATGAAGTTCTGGTGACTGAACTGGCCCAACCCCAACTTAAAAACCTGGAAGCCGCTACGATGGCTCAGAAGAGCCTTCGCCTCGTTCGCAAGCAATCTTACAAGCTTCCCCAGAATGTACGCTACGCGTCATGAATAAGGCCATACTCTTCAATGAGTTTCACCTTCTGAACGAAAACGTTCTTCTTGAAAGGATAACGGATAGACTCTGGCCTCTCCCACTGCACTGACTAAGTTCGAGGCACGGCTGGCCCTCAAACTTGAGTGCTCAAGTTCTGGGGCGGCTGCTGAACAGTCTTGTCTGCTGGCGGATGCTTGGGCCGTGAAATGAGCTGGGTATGGCGCGCTGCCAACCCCTTCCCCTCCAGTCGTTGAAGAGGGTATGCGGCGACAGTTCCTAATAACGATGACAGGTACTAATAATACAGGTTTGTTGCCTGCCGAAAGAAAAAAGGGAACGTGAACGCGCCAGGGACGCGCCAAACCCACCCCCCGCCACGCCCCCATCATGCGCGCGAACAAATTCTGTGTTTTCGGCCGAAAAAACGGTTTCAAAGAGCGTATAGTGGCAAAGCCTGGCCCTTCGTAGGTCTATCCTCAAGCTGCCCGTCATTCAGAATTGGTTCTTTCAGGTTGAATGCAAAAAGGAGTCATTGAATCGGGGCGATGTCTTTCTACTTGATCTTGGCAGAGAAATTTATGTCTGGATGCCGCCCGAAAGTGGACGTCTTGAAAGGATCTCGGTTATTTCCACACATTTACTAAGGTTATGAACAAAATATAGAGACACTATTTTAGGGAATGGCTCGAGCGAAAAATATTGCCAACCATGAACGAGTAGGACAATCAAAAGTATATGTGCTTGGTACGATGTTCGATAAAAGAAGCATATTTTGTAAAGGGTCAAACCTGGAAAAAGCGCTGGAATTCAGACTCCGACTGGGACACCGATGAAACGTTTTGGTCACATTTTGGAGGTCTGAGTGCTGTCAAGACCATCGCTAAAGCGAAGAACGACGACGAGGGTTATTGGAAGGGTACGACCGAAAAAGTGACATTACATCGGTGAGTTCGACACCAATTGATAATTTAAAAAGCACTCAAGTTTGAGATCCTGATTCAGGGTTTCGGATGCCTCCGGTGCAATGAAAATAACAAAAGTTGCTCAGGGTGAAATAAAACGTAGTCAACTGGATTCAAAAGTAGGTACAATGTCTTCGAACAACCCATTAGGTTGCTACTTCTGTAAGGCAGCGCTCGTACCGCGATGACGCGAATTGACGCGCTGCAACGCGCGTTTACGCGCTACAATTGCAACAGTGCTCCGGTCTTGCAGACTCAATTGCAACCGCAGACAGGGATCCAACGGCGCCGCCCTAGCGCCCAGGGCCGATCGATACCAGACTGCGTGATTAAGCGATGTTCACCCATAGTCCCTCAATGCATAAGCGGGCGGCGCTAATGGAATCCTTTCTGCGGGTGCACTCGCGTCTATAGCGCTGTTGCAACTGTAGCGCGTTCAAGCGCGCTGCAGCGCGTAGACACGAGGCCTGAACGCTGCCTTCAGAATATTTCATGAATATGCGCAATCCAGCGCCTCTATTCAGGACGCTTTCATTCTCGATGCCGTTGTTGGCGGGGTTTTTGTGTGGATTGGAAAGGACTGTACCATGGATGAACGTGCACAAGCGATGTTAATCGGATCGAAATACTTGAAAGAGAAGGTTGTGCTAGTGAAAAGTCTTGCTTTTGCTCTAAATAAGATCAACTACCTCAGAATCTTCCAACGTATACATCAGTGGTGCGAGTATTGGATTCAGCTGAGCCACAATCGTTCATACAATGGTGAGGTTTTGATACTCCAAATCCCAGAGATGCGCTGGGCGTGGCTACGCACTTAATCTGAACGTGACTGCGGCTGCGCTTTTGGCAGAGTACTCTCATTTGGGAACAAAAACAAACCTTTTCCAACATAAGGAAGATGACATTCGTCTCAATCTGGAATATTCCTAGTATAGCCCATCCTCCGCGATATTCAACGGAAGTACGCAGCCACGCCTACCGCGTATCACGGATGTGAAATTCAAGTCAAAGAATAATCAAACCAGCTTTGGCATATCTACCCCTAGGTTCGGCGAGTGGGTGGACGGCAAGACGAAAAAAACTTTCGAACCGCGTCTGTTCCAAGTATCAGATGAGTCCGGAAAAATGATGGTGGAAGAGATTGCCAACTATACTCAAGAGGTTATCATACATTCGACTGCGATTAATCCGTTGTAGTGATTTCTGGTAGTGTTACAATTGCGTATTAAGAAACGTGAGAGGTGCCCCTATGATTGGTGGGCTTCTAGTGGCCACCAATCGCGAGCATTTAGCACAAAACACACGATCTCAGCCTAGTCGATAGCAACCACTATGATTTAATCTCACCTGGTTTTTTCTATATTTCAGAGCCTCGACGGTGATGATGTTATGATCGTCGATGCCCTCAGCATTATTTACGTGTGGATTGGAACTGGTGCCAACCAGAATGAGAAGAAAAATGCTCACCAAACTGCCGAGGTCAGGTAGCCTCTGGCTAAAAATGCCAGCTGTTTGGCTTCTTGACATGCTAAATTTTCTTCAGCGGTTTTCGTTTTACAGTTTGAAGCTATTTTTGTTGCACTTTGTGTCTTTATGTGAAAAGAGTTGGAGCTGCGCCAACATCTAGGGGCCGCTGGCGAGCCCCGACTGAGCTCACTGTCAGTGACGAGGAACGTAGCTCTTTTTTATCTACTCAATAACACTCATTTAGGCTTCTAATATCCCCGTAGAGAAGAAAGTTCAGTAAAAGAAGCCAACTAAAAAGCAAGTTCCAGAAGAGTGCAATTCAAGAAGTTGCCCGAAAGAGTGGCGCTTGTCCTATAGGACCCAGAAAACCAATCCTCCCTTTCATAGCAACTGCTGCAAGTCCTCGCCCCTGACAGGCCCACTACTCGAACACCGTGACAGTGATTTTTTTGAGCCTTTTTCCTAGACTCATGAAGCTGGGCCAAAGTCTTGAGTAGTCACCATATGAACTGGACACTCGTCAGCCCAAGAACTTTATTCCGCCTAGTTCTTGTCTCAGTGTTTGGTCAGTCTGCTAGTACTGATTATGGTTTTTTCAGAAATACTTAAAGTATGGTAAATTGCCACGCCCTCAGAAGACCACGATTGAAACGATCTATCAAGGCAAAGAAACACCAACTTTCAAAAAGATGTTCCCGAAATGGGACGATAAATTATTCGAAGGGGTAAGTAAATAGCTTAAGATTAAAAAAATTGAAATTCGTAAAGTCAATGGTGAAATACGTTTGAGGCGCAAAAATGAGATTGCTTTACAGGACCAACGCACAGTGGAACAAATGAGAAAGCATCTCTTCAAATGAAAAGTTCACTATTCCATTGTATCTATGAAGTACTACTTGTATTTTTATGTAGTTCCTGTAATTTCTTTCTGATCCGCAGAAGTCGTGCCTGATTTCTTCATTAAGTACATGAAGAAAGTCTGTTCTATACATCTCTTGAATCAATAATAAAGTATTTCTGCCTCGGTTCACCTTATTCAGTGGAAGTTCCGCCCTTTTAGTAGTGCACGAAATAGTTTTGAAATTGTTCCCAGCACAGATCGTACGAAAATCGATTGGGAGTAGCTAACGTATCGGGTGAGTTTTTGACTGCCAAGCCGCTCATCTTCTGCGCACGCCCCGCCTACTGCGGGCCCATCCCCGGAGCCTTTACATCTTTTTTCCTCGGGAATTCTTCTTTTCCCCGAGGCACGAATGGCATATATCTTCAACTGCTTGCCCTGCATTTGTTCCTCTCCTCTTTCCGAAAGTGAAGGCAACTTAATAGGTTCTGCCACATTTTTTAAAAAAACCTACAGATTGCCTCTCCCTTTCGTAGCGAAGCTCAGCAGTTGCAAACTTCCAATTTGTCCTAGTTCGCAACATTTGAGAACAATGGGAGAGGTGTCCCGACCCGCAGCTGTCCATATTTCGGGTGAGGATAATCATTCCGAGCCAGCAATCAAAGCGGGTTACACTTCCAGCCTTCGATTAGTCTGCTCGGCTGGACTTGAGTTTAAGGGCACTCTTCATTGTGACATTACAAGGCTGAATAATTATAATAAATCTCTCTTTTCGCCAGCTTCAGGTTCTTGTTCTTTGTGAGGGAAGTACTGTTGGTTGCAATGGAGAACCTTGTACAAGTTTCATGACAAAACGATCTTAGGACAACGGCGTTAAGGCGCAGGGTTGCTCATGTTTCTCCGCCAGCGTTGCTAGCTACCATGTCTGTCGTCTTGCTGGTTTGCATGCTCTCTCACTGCTCTTGTCTGGCCTCTCGCTCGAAATCCTCACTGAATCTTCGCTAAGCTCTTGGGACAAATGCCCCCTTATGATGCATTTGATGATCTCCTCTACTTTTTTTTCTTAAGATCAAAAGAACATACGCTTCTGCTTTTTAACCCACCACCTATAAACTGTTCGACAGCTCATGGTGATAGCTCCAACCAAGCTAGAATGCAAGGATATTAGTATGGTTCCTGATTCCATCCAGTTTCACGGAGGCATCTGAATACGCTGAGAAGCCTCAAGAGAAATACCTGCTAAGGCAGAAATACTTTTTTCCCCGTACGACTTCTTACGCAAGCGTTGCAATGCATTCTCCTCTCATGTGCAGCTTATAAAAGTCCCTCAGCTGTTTTTATGAACTTTTCCATAAAGCTTAGCATTATTTCTGTTGCTTTTATTAATTTCAGCTCCACAGAGGCAACCTTATTGGCCTTACGTTGCGGTAGGATCGTCTGCTTCAGAGGCTAAAAGGACCACAGTAATTCACAGGCCCGGCCCGACGAGCTTTTCACCCACGGGGACGATAAATCGGTACCAGATTCGTCTGAGACGATAAGAACACGGATTTGAACACTAGCTGGCCCCGGGATGTAATTGTACGAGGTACAACATCGTTGTGTGAAACACTGTGGGTGTCGTACCTAGCCGCTGGGAGGAGAAGGTCGCATTTGTTAAAAAAAATTCTGGGAAAAAATTTTTTGCCGTTGTTGACTTTTCGCGGTTTTTTCTGTATCACATTCGCTATACAACCACTCCCCCCTCGTACGATGGAAATTTTCGGGTGAAATACTGGAAACTGTGAGAAATTTCGGAAAACCGGTAGGAAGCTGGGATCTTGTAAGATGTTAGGGAAGTGAGAGGGGGAGGGTCGTACTGACGCCACCATTTCACACATCACGATGCAGCACCCTGATGGTATAGGCCGCATCGCACTCAATAAGCCAACATGATACTGGCTGGAAGTGGAATGCGTGCCGTATGCATTCTAAAAAAGGACTGAACATCGACGGAGACCTTATGTGTTTTGATCCTTTGATACCATTTCTCGTGGAACTAGTTCACAAAGACAATCACATTCAGCCGAATAGTTTCATCTGACCTGATCTGATCAGCAGCTTTTCTCGGCAACACTTAGGACACGCGGCTGTTGTCGTGTTAATCGTTGGTCACTCGATCTCCGCACTTTCACACACCTTCCCTTCCTTAAAATTTCCTATTCTTCTTTGGTGGAAAAGTCATGCATAACGTTCCCTTTGAAA